ACTTGGCTCATTTTTACCTTACCTAAAACGAAATGTGGGTCGCTGGGGAGTACAGGATGGGACAACACGTTTCTCTTTCCTACATCAATTAATGCACTAACTTGTGTGCTATAACCACCTCAAACTGTTGTTCAATATTTAATTTTAGTATATAAAACAATTGACATGTCCCACTATACTCCATTTTTCCCTACGTGTTTTTATTACGTGTACACAAGTTCGGAATTGAAAATATTATATAAAACAAACGATAGTTTTTCAAGAAAGGTCTCGGATCCAAAAGCATTTATGACTTTTGTGAAAAATTCAGCGATGCTTTCATCTTCGAAAATTATCTTCAGTCATAAACGTGCCTATCCAAAGAAGTATCAAAATAATCAAATTTAGATCGATCTTCGAGATGGATAGATGTGTTACGTAGAATATAAATAAATTATTAACTTTTTAAAAGGTTTTGTTAAGAAACGACCGCACTCACAATTTAAATCATAATAGGCAGAAATGAGAGTCAAATGCGAAATATCTACAATGAAAGAAGACCTCTGTCTAAGTGGCAGACAGGGATCTGTCAGTATCAGCAATTTATTATTAGGATTCATATTAATTTGGAAATTTAAATGAACCATTAATTTGGAATAGAGAGAGCACTGAGCACGTCTATGCTGTTCTTGAGGATTTTTGCGTGGAATAACAATACGAATTACGAAATTATTGGTCATCATAATATTAGGGTAATAAGGTTTACCATTATGTATATCATGAAAATAGAATTATATTGGTTATAATCATGACGCCATAAGTACAATGGTGGTACTTATGGCTTCATGTGCTGAAGTGTCAAGCTATTAGAGCTTGTAGCGTTTCCTGATAATAATACGTGTAAAAATAGATGACAGTAATGCAAGTGTGAAGGAGCTTGATCGACATTAATTTGATAAACACTTTTCACCTCCGCTGCAACTCATATTGTTTCATCATTGTATCTTACCGCTACCGCATACATTCATCTTGCGCATTGAAATATTGGATCAAATGAACAAAGTTTTAACACGCTGGCTTGGTAAATTGAGTCAGTGAAGCGCAAGAAAAAATCTGTCTAAACCAAAGAGCAATTACAGGTAATTCTCGCGGTGCTACATAAGTAAATTAGTCTTCTCAAAAATAAAAATAAAAGAGTTCATATGCCATTTGGCCTCTGTAACACGACCAAATGGCAGTGGAATAAAATTCTGTTCAATTTTAATTGCTAGATTGACCTACGAAATATATTTGCAAGTACGGTTGAACTTTTGAGGAAATTTCCATTATTATTTGATGTGTGAAGAGCGACTTCTGCAAAGCGTCTAGACAGCTAGTCTATTACCTATATAGTATGCCATAAAACTATTATGGTATGCCATAAAAATAATGTTTATTACGAGCCAACAACCACTTTGCGGTTCAGGAGACGAATTCATCTTGCTCGGTGCATTCATGAATTGAGAGGCAAGCAACGCTTATCTAGTGGTGCTTCATTCGAAAACACCTCTTTTAGAGCTAACCTCGCCAACCAAGGCTCTGAAATGAAGATCGACGTCCCAAAATTATTTTAAAATTTTTCAAATAAAGAGACATATCTGAAGTGAAGTTAGACATTGCTGAATTCTGTGTACAATTTCTGAGTACAAATATTTTGATTTCTTTCCCTCAATACCGACGTTTCAAACTTGCTCATCACTAATAAGACGACTGCTAACTGCAAGTATGAGGAAATTACTGTTGGTGGTGATTTGCATAGCTACGGTAAAGGCAGTACAGGAAAACTTCTTGCTCCACGTAAGTTGCCGCTACTCTCGCAGAACATTCCTAATTGATTAAAATCTTGATCCCATCTAAAAGATGCTGTCTGCGTTTCACGGGTGTCAGTTCGTAGGTCGCGAAGCCCGTATTTCTGGTAATATATTTGATGATTCGCTAACTAAGATCACTTGAGTTGAGGAACTTAATGGGAAGAATCATTCGAGGATTTTCACTGGTTCAAGGATTTCTGAGGAAGTCAATAAGTGGGTTTAAACTGCCAACGAAAGTCAATCGGCAGTATGAGTAAAAACTTGATACAATGAAAACTTAATTACAAATAATCATAATATCAATATTTGAATAAGTATTATCAGATGATCAATTCCGAACCTGGGCCGACATCAGGAACGCAACACCCGTGATATGTAAGAAATTACTGTGTTATCTTTGTTATACGAACGGTTTTCGATGTCTGACGTTATCCTAAAATATGTACGTGTCGGCAGTGACGGCGGCATTTGTGCAATAAACATTAAATTGGCAGAACTGAAGGTTAATTATTGCAAAATGTCATACAAAAACATTGAAATTTGTCTACAATAGGTATAAAAACTCATGTTTCTTGCTATATTATCATCAAACACATTGCTCTTCTCTAAGAGGCTGGAAAAAGTATATTGCGAGATCCGTAACTGAATATAAAGTAATATGGTATAAACTACATATTTTCGATGCATGTAATAGTTTGAAGGAAGATTCTTTAAAGCACTGATGAAATCCATTATTCTTATTTCCTGAAATCCTTTATCCTTATCCTTAAGATTAAACACGTCTATGTCATTTAAAATTTAATTTTAAGAATTAACAAATGCCGCACAGTACACTTATCATAAATAAAAATTCGTTAAAATAACCAAAATTAGCTACGGGAGAATATCTCATTACACATGGTCATTAGAAAGAAATGTTGATTAATAAAACATAAATTAGTAAATAGATATATATTACTGCGATCAAGACGATTAATTGCAAAGTTCGGTAGCTCAGTATAAAAACGACCGTATTTAGTATCACACAACATCAATTGACATGATCTAGTAAGTGAGAAGTTATGTCTCGAACATGATCGTTAAGTGCATATATAGAGTTTTTATTCGGTCAAGCTTTAAAAACATAACACATAAAGATGAATAAAGAACAGTAACAATCACTCTAGATTGTTGGAAGTTATAAAAATGATTTAAATAATATAAAACATAAATAAAAAATATTTCACTTGTGTTTATTAATTTCTTGTTTGCTCCTAAATTAATTATTTCTCCCTGCGATTGTTTTACCGTCACAAAGAAATTTAATAAGTCCCTTTCATAAAATATTTTTTCTTTATATCTACAGGTGTCATAACTCCTATTTTTTAATATTCTACAAATAAAATGTAATTGTGAAATCTTGTCTAATTTAACAATAGTAAAAGGCTTCAGTTCCACATAAAATTCAAGTCCGAACATTAATTTTTAAGATATTCGCAACACTCTGCTGAAAATGGACACAACAAATAATTTCCTATTATTATAATAAGTGTGAAAGTGGCTGATGAAGATGACATCATCAGCACTTAAATGTACAGTTTGTACAGTTGTTATTAAGTTAAAATAATTATATACAATAATTCATCACTCAAATTTATCGACTCGACATCATTTAAAAATTATCCGTTGACATTTAGAGTCGATGCAAAACAATGATACATAACAAAACCCTTATTAAAAATTTGTCTAATCTAACTTTGGTAGATACGAAGCCATAATGACTGAGGGCTAATAAAATATATATATGAGCGAAAAATGACGCTGGCATGAAGAAAAAGCTGCACAAAAGTCATTATCTAGGCAGCATAGTGCAGGGATTTCTTAAATCAAACGAAACTTCAGAATCCTCAAGAATTATTAGGATTATTTAGGTTATAATGTTAAGGTTGAATGGTTGGAGATAATTTACAAGTTATACGACGTCCACGCTTATTACGAAAAACACACATATCATAACTATAAACATACTAACCTATTATAAATATACTAACTATAAACATACTATACAATAGACTATAAATTGGAAAATTTTCATGGTGTGGGTCTGTTTAATATTAAACGTAGCGGGTGGGAGCGGTGCAACGCTTCAATGCATGGTAAGTGCACTTTGTTTTGGAAAATAAGAGCAATATGATTGTCCCCCAACTTAATTAGGCAGCCATAAAAACACTGGTTATTCTGTAGATTATTTACGAGCATGATCGGTCTCCAAACTCGAAATCGATGACTTAAGACGTTCTAAACAAATTGGGGAGAAGATAAAATAGAATTGAAGCATTGAGTTTGACACGCTGCCGAACTCGCGCACCACCAACTGTACGGAAAAATCAATGACGAGTAGGGGGCTTATTTTTCTACGGGATTCTTTGAAATAAATCAAATAATGCAGGCGCGGGTGAGGCAGCCCACATGGGCAGTACATTTGGAGACATAACTGGCAGCCTATACATGTAGAATAGAGTAGCATAGAAGTGTCGGCACTGAAGAAATAGGCCCATGGCCTGTTGCCGATCCATAAATTTTTCGTGACTTGATTCACAAGGGATCCGGCCTTTGGAACCCGATCTTTCCATAACTGACGATTGATTGAGATAGCTGCGGGACTTATTGCCTGGTCCGTAATTTGCTAGGCATTTTAAGACTGAACATATGCTCCTGCATAGTTCCGTCTAGTCTGTTGTTGAAGGCGTTCATACTCGGAGCGTCAACGATTTTATCAGGGAGGCTGTTCCCCAAGTCGGTGACTCGAAGCGAGAAGAAATGTTGGCGCATGGATGTGTTACAACGCAGTTTTTTTAGTTTGTAGCCGTGGCCCCTGGTGTTGGTTCTTGTTTCAAATTTTAGTAATCCTTCTGGGACCTTGCATAAGCCGTGAGTATACTTGTATGCTTCAATGAGTTCCCCACGAAGACGTCGATAACTGAGGCTTGGAAGCTTCATAATCTTTAATCTTTCCTCATAGGACTTGCCTTTCAAGCCCGGAATCATCCTTGTTGCACGTCTTTGAACACTCTATTAAAGTTTTGTCCTTTTCAAGTTTCGGTGACCACACGACGTTTCCAAACTCTAGGTTCGGGCGCACGACAGCAATAAACAACTGCTTCATCGCTTCTGTATCTAGGAACTCGAAAGAGCATCTGATCAGTCCAAGTCGTTTATTGGCTTTATTAACTTGACCTTCGAAATGCTTAGACAATTTCAACTCATTGTCGATATTAACTCCTAAATTTTTTCCATTGTCGACTTCGACATCACCACTCTGTCGTTGCAACCGTGTCTTCTCATACTGTAATCTTGCTGTTCATTATTCTTGCCAAGGTGGATTACTTTACATTTGTCAGCGTTAAAACGCAGCTGCCACTTATCAGCCCAGTCAACCAGCCTGTCAAGATCACCTTGTAACTGCACTTTTTGCGACGTATTCTTCACTGTATTATAAATTTTTGTGTCGTCAGCATACATCGAGCACACGCTAGACACATCTTCTGGCAGATCGTTTATAAACGCAACGAATAAAACAGGCCCGAGAACGCTTCCTTGTGGCTCGCCGCTGCGCTCTGGTCCACTTGACTTGTTTGGATATACAGCGGTAAGGCGCTTGAGAACCTCTTCTTCTAGTATTTCAAAACTTGTTAATTTAATTAGAGCCGACTGGGCGCGCCTCAATAGCTGGAATACTGTTCAAGTCCTCTTCAGTGAATACGCTACTGAAAAACTGATTAAGAACGTTAGCCTTGCCCTCATCAGAGGATAGGTATCTTTCGTTGATCTACTTTCAAACCAGAAATACCGTCCTTTATCTTGCACTTCGAGCTAGCGTGCAAAAAAGGCTTTCGGGTTCTTTTTTGCATTTTTAGCAATATTTGTTCGAGGGTTTTACTGGCGTGCGACAGCTTTCTTTAGCTTGATTTCGAGCTCTTGCGTATAGATTATAGTCAGCATCGCTACGAGTCTGTAAATAACGCTGGTAGGCTTCCTTCTTTGTTTTCAGCTTAGCTAGAACTGAACTGTTCATCCACTGAGTTTTTTTGGCTCCACCAAGCTTAATTTTAGGTACACACGCATCAACTGCAGACATAACCGTGTCCTTGAGAAATGACCATGACTCGGCCACATTCATGTCCTTAATACAGTTCGAAATATTCAATATTCACTGCTTCACGGAGTTTATCATAGTCGCCTTTCGCAAATTTCAAACGCTCGCGCTTTCGATCGAGGCGCCTTCTCTGTACAGCACTTTAGACTGAAAAACAATGATTGGTGATGGCTTTTGCCCAATGGAGCCTCGTGACGAAGCTCATCTATCATTGATTCATCACTGGTAAACACCAGGTCTAGAATATTGGGAGTTTGTTTATTTCTATAATGGGTTGGCTTAGTAACGCGCTGGACTAGGAAGCAGTCTCTCACAGACTCCATGAAGTCTCTCCACATATGCTGCAAGTCTTCACATAACTGATATATATGACATCGTCATCCCATATACCTATAACTCTTCAGGTCCAATCGGCATGTCTAAAAAACTTTGATAAATTAACGAGCCTGATCGCGATGCAACTAAAATTTTATTGATGACACAGTAAGAATAACGACGAACGATGAACCCTCTTGTATAAGTGGCAAGCCTTGCTGAAATTTTGTCGCTAAATAGAGTGCACTGCAAGAGTTGCCAATTCACTAAATTTGTGCTTAGCATAGGGTCGACAATTATAGTTAGTTTTAAATTTGCGTTAGACCGAAGTTATCAACTTCTGTTCTATTTTCCGATTTTCTTGAAGGTTGGTATCGCTGGTTTTAATTTAATGTTGCGTTTAATTGTTTTTAAAATTATTGTTGATTCGAATAATGATCTGCTTTGAACTCTCTATATTTCTAACTTTGTACCCCAAATTCGTACCGGAATCCTGTGCAGTGAATCCCTAAGTATATTTCCCAATACTGAGTTGTGAAAATTTTCGAATTTCAGGCTCAACCAACACTCAGGCGCATGGTAAACTTCGACCCCTCGATGGACGCGTCGATGCTGAGGAAGGCCATGAAGGGCTTGGGCACCGACGAAGCCTCCATCATCAACATCCTCGCCAACAGGCCCAACGACCAGCGGCAGAAAATAAGCTCGGCGTTCAAGCATGCATATGGCAAGGTAAGATATTACAGCTATTCACCATAATATACACTTTTACCTTTTGACCATTGTCGCTCTTTGTTGTGTTATAACCATTCAAACATTACTCTTTTACCTTCTAACCATTGTTGCCCTTTGTTGTGTTATAGCAATGCAATCATTACACATTTACGTTCTAACCATTGTTACCCTTTGTTGTGTTATAGCAATGCAATCATTACACCTTTACCTTCTAACCATTGTTGCTCTTTGTTGTGTTATAGCAATGCAATCATTACACCTATACCTTCTAACCATTGTCGCTCTTTGTTGTGTTATAGCAATGCAAGCATTACACCTATACCTTCTAACCATTGTCGCTCTTTATTTTGTTATAACAATGCAATCATTACACTTTTACCTTCTAACCATGCATTATCACTCTTTGTTTTGTTATAACAATGCAATCATTGCACCCTTATATTCTAACCATTTTCTCGTACACGTTTGTATGCCTCTAATATATCGGCAGATGCCTTAACCATTTTTAACCATTCGCAATGCCATCTGTATCTCAAGAAGTGGTAACGAGTGGTACGGTCAATAGGCAAAAGTGTTCAATTATATGATGTGACGAATGTTCAATAATGTGATGTGATGAATGTTCAATCATGCGACGTTGTTCTATTTTTACTAGTTGATTGCAAGCTTTGAGCGTTCGTCTGTTTTTGTTCCCATGTTCCGTTTCTAAATGCTGGATATTCTGTAGGTAACGCATAAACAAAACCACTTACAGTCTTTTATTGGCGCAGATCGGCGAGGAAAATGTTATTAAACATTTTTAGAACTACTAGAACTTTTATTGAATGGGTACATAGCAAATGATGATAAGTTCCATAACACGAAGGAACTTGTCTGTTATCAATTAGTAGCCCTGCTTTCTTTAAAGACTGAAGGTCGCAAGGTTTCCCTTTTGATACTATAGTTGCATTCGCATTTGTTTCTCAAAGGAGAGTACGGAGAGCATTTTGTCAAGAAGGTGGCTCCGTACCTAGGTCATGAAGGATGCCCCGTACCTAGGTCATGAAGGATGCTCCGTACCTAGGTCATGAAGGCTGTTCCGCACCTTGGTCATGAAGGATGCTCCGTACCTAGGCCATGAAGGATGCCCCGCACCTAGGTCATGAAGGATGCCCCGTACCTAGGTCATGAAGGATGCAGGAAGTATCATTGTTTCCCTATTGTTGGTGGCAAGCCGCGAAGACGACGCTGCACGGAAACATCACTTAGCCTGAACCGAGGACGTTCTTAGAAGTTCGTCCCGAAATTTAGCTTCAATTCTTTAGCTTTGATGCTTGTAATTTATTGTAAATACGTATGTTTAAATAATAGTCAACTGGTAGCCGGAGGGCCGCAGCCGTGGGCCACAAAAAGTATGTTGTTAGGGAGCCATTATGTCGTGGGTATAGTGGTAAAATAAAGAATGACTAAAATGATAAATGTAAATACTATGATGATAAATAAACAAAAAATACAAAATTAAAACTAATGTAAACGTTCGTTTTCTTAGTTCATGTTTTGCTTTCGGATTCAAGATTCGCTGAAACGACGCAAATAAACATCAAGTAAAGACTTTCATTAATCTATCGCCAGCGAAGGAATATAGCTCACAAAAACAATAGGCTAGTATAAATACGAATATTGAAGATCACTTACAAAATCCATCACTATATAAGGGACAGGACGCCATGTTCTGTCACTATAAGGATAGAAGATTAACCTTCAATAAACAATCCAAGTACTGACCTCTGGTTGATCACACGGTTATGACAAGGTACATAGCAAGTCTATCCGAGGTGACGAAAGAGTTCACTCTAAACCCTAATGAAACTAGATGTAACCTGACTGTTAATAAAGCATTTATTGCACGGCGTTTCCTAACAATGTAAGCCCTGGAGACAAGTTATTGCATACGGTACCTCAGCATGCAATAATAACATTCAGCCTCCGATATTTAAACCGTAGACAACGCTGGGAACCGCAATTCAGACTAGTGAGACACCGCTTGAAGATAATAGCGCCGTAGGTCCTCAGCCAATACTAAGCATGCGCGCTCACCACCAGGCAATTCTTCTTTCGGCCTCACCTACTCCGGTCTAATCACTATCTTGCCTAACCTATAAACACTGCCCCAACTCCAACCTCCTTGCAGCCAATGAATGGCTGTGCCCCGCCTCTCTAACTTCCCGATGCTAATGATGTTAGGTCTGCTCTTTGTTTTGGGTGTAGAAATGTATAAATGTGAGTAAGTTAGGCCTGATTCAGTATGAACATGCTTATCTTGAGCAATGAGCATGCTTGCGCGGTTGCTGTGGCCTACAGCACTTGACGCTAGAGGACATAGAAGCCATAGGCTTCTATGTCCTCTAGCGTGCTTATCATCGGATAAGAATACGGAATAAAGTGCATAGTTATGCGAAGCTGCCCTCCGGCATGCGCTCTTCGGTATACTAACCTATAATGAAATTCATTTGTGGGCAAAAATTGTTACTAATTTATTTCCAGAAGGCCTGATTCGAGAACTTATATGACTATACATGCGACATACCGCGGCACAGGATGCCGTCAAATATTCTCGACTTTTTTGCTTTCACATTTAAATCTTTCCTGATTTCTGATTTTTTTCCTTGCCACGTCTTACCTTTTTAGCATTCCAGGACCTGGTCAAGGAGCTAAAGAGCGAGCTGAGCGGTAAATTCGAGCGCGTGGTGCTGGCCATGATGTTGCCCACGACCGAGCTGCTCGCCGACCACCTGCACGAGGCCATGAAGGGCGTGGGCACCAACGAGGACACCTTGGTCGAGATCCTCTGCACCCGCAACAACAGCGAGATCATGTAAGAATCTTCATATCAATTTTAAATTTTAATAAAAAATTCCAAATCCTTAAATTTGCCAAATTTTAAAACTGGTTACATTTTGCGATTAAGTCCACGATTTAGCCGTAGTACAATTGTATCGCTGTTAAAGATTGGGCCACGTCGTTCCATCCACCTATTTTAGGCAATGCAGCTTCTGCAGCTAGCTGGGGCTCACTGCTCGAATTTTGCCGCTTATAACCTCTCCGCCACCTTACCAAATGTCAAATTATTATTTTGGATCGTGAGCCGCAGTCCGTGTTCTTGTTTAGCCTGCGTGTACACCATCAATGTAAAATTGAACGAAGTTATCTTTATGCTCCAAAAAAGGATATTGTACTATAATCTTCTCTGCTAAAGGGATTTGCCAACTGTCTTCGAACGGTGGTGAGCTCAAAACAAACAATTTTGTATCGGTTCAGCTTATTTTGAACTATCATTCAAAATTGTCCTCGACAGTGAACTGAAATCTGTGTATGAGCGGAAACATGGAAAGCCGCTGCAGAAGAGCATAGAGAGCGAGACCTCAGGTCACTTCAGCCGCTTGCTTGTCTCCATGACCACAGGCGCCAGGGATGAAGCCAACACCAACCTGCAGCTGGCACCACAGCTGGCACAGCAGCTCTATACAGCTGGTGAGCCTGTTAAGTATAATTTATTTAACATCCTGTCGTCCATCCAGCTACTCTAAAACAGCAGGTGTGGCGAAGGGCCGAAAGCTTATTGTCAGTATTTAAGGTCACTTGCTACGAGCGATATGATATACGAACCTGTGAAGAGATCTTGTTGACCGATCTCCGTGTTTTCCGGCTAACGATCAACTTGAAATAGACCAGTGGATTAATAATATACGTTTAAAAATTACCTTTTGCAGACAACACTTCTAAAGAATCCAGTGTCTCCAATGTTAAAGATGTACAATGAGTTTCTCATTTTATTTTCGAATATAAAAAAAATGAATTTTTCAATTTTTTTTAATGTATAAATTTTTTCAATATTATTTATTCTGTCATTTGATTCATGCATTGCCTCCGACTTCACACAAGTGTGCCAAATTTCAGATCAATTGGACAGGTAAAAGTGTGTAAAATGGGAGTTATAAGATTTGTAGCTGATAAAACTATTTTTTAAGTTTTTTTTAAATTGAAGAAAAAAATTGTTTTTAATTTTTAAAATCATTTATTTTATCATTTGATTCATGCATTGCCTCCAACTTTACGCAAGTGTGCAAAATTTCAGATCGATAGGATAATTAAGTAGAAGTGTGTTAAATTTCGATTATAAGATTTGTAGCAGACAGACAACAAGAAGTGAAGTTAAAGAGAAGTGTTGTAAAAATTGTAATTTTTTATACCAAATTTTCGGTTGAATGCATATATATTTCACAGGTGAAGGAAAGGTCGGCACGGATGAGGCTGAGTTCAACAGGATTCTGTCGTACTACTCCTACCCGCTGCTGCGCGCTGTATTTGACGAATACAAGAAAATCAAGGCATGTAAAAACTAAAATAATCCTGGTCTTCTCTATGTATCTTTATATTATATTTTGTGTAGTGCATTTTTAGGGTAGAGCTTATATTTGTTAGTCGTATCGAGAAATCTTGTTACCTGTGCATGAAATCTAACCTAGCAGTGAAAAAGTGAATTATCTTCTCGCAAATTTGCATGATTTAGTAAGTCATTTAACATATTTTCATATTATTTCGTGTAGAACAATTCCAATTTTGATCGAATATTCTATCAATAAAACGTTCAACATTACTCAAAACAAAATTCACCTGATCAGTTTGTTCCGTAACTTCACAGGGCAAGTCTCTGATCGACGCGATCAAGAGCGAGTTCTCAGGCGACATACAGAACGGCCTCATAGCGGTTGTCTCGAGCATCGAGAACCGGCCTCAGTTCTTCGCAAAGTGCCTGCACGATGCCATGAAGGGAAAGGTGAGGACAGTCAGGCTATTGGTATGAAGGTGAGAATCAAAGGGTTGGCCGACATCAAAGTGAGAATCAAGGGGGTGGCCGGCACGAAAGTGAGAATAAAGAGGGGTGGCCGGAATGGAGGTGAGAATCAAGGGGGTGACCGGCACCGAGGTGAGAACAGTCAAGCTACTGGTATCAAGGTGAGAATAGTCAAGCTATTGGTAGCAAGGTGAGAACAGTCAGACTATTAGTATCAAGGTGAGAACAGTCAAGCTACTGGTATCAAGGTGAGAACAGTCAAGCTATTGGTAGCAAGGTGAGAACAGTCAAGCTATTGGTATCAAGATGAAAATCAAGGGAGTGGCCGGCACTAAGTTGAGAATATTCAAACTACTGGTACCAAGGTGAGAATCATATTGTCCGGTTCCAAGTTGGGAGCAATCTAGCTACTGGTAGCAAGTTGAGAACAGTGAACTAGACGGGTACGAAGTTGAGAACGAGTATTTCTCTGGGGGGTTTTGATGGATCTTCGATTTACTTCCTGGAAGAGGTATCAAATGAAGAAAAGCAGTATTTCTTTAATATTTATTTACAACTACAATCAACTTTAATTCTCCTTTGAATTATCGAAACTTATATCTTGATTGATTCTTTAGTTCAGTAGGTAGCGGGGTTTGCGAAGAGCTGGTCTGCTCTGGCGCGTTAATAAAAGAACCTCGGGTCAAGCGAACAAGGCAGGCTAACATGCATGCATTGGTTAAACACCGAGAAGATTCAAAACAGTGATATTGAAAAAGATGGACAAAAAATATACCAGTATTTCACCCGTGTTACGGTGTATATCTTGCGGGATCCGGCTTAATAAGCAATACCATCGATTTTAATATCTGTTTCTGCTGCATTTCGACTATATCTGAATCTTGCTTGTCATCATTTACTGTCTCTATTTTCGAACTCGTCATTGTCTATTGACAGGGATTAATCTCGTGTTTTTTTCTCGTATCTGGTTGCGGGTGTTACGTCTAATATAGTGAAAATATGGACTGTAGACGGTCTTTTTTGCAATGGAAACCTATAGTACTTGGTTCTGATAGAAAAATTCTGGATCGAGTCCGTGCTCTTGAGCGTTGTTGCTTGGCCATAAAAAAATATTCTACAGCAGCCAAATTGTTTGCTTGCTGTCGTCTAGTATTATTTTCTCGGTTATTTAAAAATTGTAACATTTATGCACCAGCAGCACCGCTGAAACTGGATAAATTCTACGAAGTAAATTAAAAGAAAAAAACTTACCCTCTGATAAATGAGCCTAATTTGTCGTGAATTTCACGAATTCCATTTACTGACTAATTTTTGTTATTTCTTTCTCAGGACGACGCGCTCATCAGGCTGATCGTGACGCGGGCCGAGATCGACTTAGGCACCATCAAGCAGGAGTATCAGAAGCTCTACGGCAAGAGCCTCGAGAGCCACATTAAGGTGAGATATTTGCTACGTGTATGATCTTTTTAGTGCATTTTCTCATTTATGAAAAAAGCGCTATTGTGCTCGTCATGTCCGTCTGTCTGTCCGTGACTTCACGTTTTCGTCGACGAGAAAATGCGCTATATATAGTTGTATTTTATTTTATTTTCTATCGGAAATTGCTAAATTGTAGTTAATAAACGCAATAAAAGTCATGATATTTAAGGTAGTTTCTGGCAATGTGATTTATTTCATTGTGATTGTCGTGGATTACGAAATCATGTTTTTGCAATAACACAATGAATCATCACTGTTAAGAGCATCTAAAATTGTTATTATTGGACTCTTGATATTATTGTATCCTCATATATGATTTTTATGCGCAGCTGTAAAAAATCTAGCAACAATAATTGCAAAGATGTGTTTTAATTTCTATAAAGTCGTGGTTGCCGAAATTATCACTTGTTTATATGGAAAAGACATCCAAATATAATACATATTAAAAAACATCAAGTTAAAAGGAAATTAACAAATCAACGAAAGCTGTAAGAAAATTTTTGGGTACAGTGCTACCCGAGATAACCAACGTAGAAATTGCAACGCTGCTCTGAACTCTCAAGTCCTATGAGCCAAACGATAATTACATACATGACGAACTCTTTAGCACACACCGTAGTTATGTACGTCTCCGTATTAAACTCGTCGAGGAAAATTTATAGCCGTGGTTCGGGCATGTTTGCTGATCTATTTTTCTCCGTGCAGAGCGACACCCCGGACGGAGACTACAAGAAGATGCTGATCGCTCTGGTTGACGGTTGAGATTTGAGGCTCAGTTAAGTTGTGTTGAGAGCAGGTTGAAACGTGGTTAGGCAAAAATTGAATACAGTATGATACGAGGTTAAAAAGTTGATATAGGCAGTATAAAGGAAGTTGGAAGGATAATTTTGGCTGAAAGGAGGCCGAAGAAGAGTCGGTAGGAGGTTGTGAGGAGGAAGACAAAAATAAAAACAGTTTTATGAGGGAAGGAAATTATTTAAGGTGTGAGGACGAAGAACTATGGCTGCACTAAGTCGGTGTTGAAAGTTCAAACGGTTGAACGTTACTATGGGTTTCTGTAATTCGTTATATGTTCGAATTATCGTCATATCATTTTGTCATATAATGTTGCATATTTGCTGTTGAATAAGTTCTCTGCCATATTTGTTGTATAGCAAATAACATAAATTGGATAACTCCGGCGCTTTCTGCATAGAATCGTCACCTATTAATTTCTACTCAGCTTAAAATTGATCTATATTGATTTTAGTTTTGTTGAATGTAACACTCGCTAGCAGCTGCAATCAAGCGACCTTCCGACTACTTCTGCCTTACATGACTCATGAGTAAATGCTAGCCTTTCCCGTGCCAAAGTAGAAATATTTTCTAATTTCTACTCTTTAAAAATTAGGACCACCAGCAGAATATATATTTTACCGAAACAACTGTTCCAGGTACGAAAGAACCGTATACCTTGAGATGGTATCAAGTTCAACAGTCCAAAAATCATTTCAAACTTTTTCCAAAAAATCTAACTGGAGAATATTTTTTACGATTTCACAAATATATAATGTTCGAAAATCGTCTTTTCTTTCTTCTTTTTAACTATCCGGTGTGAAGCAATAAAAAACGCGATTTGACAATGTCGTCTGTTTAATATTTTTAAGATTTGAAATTTAGAGGATCGCGAATGGCTGTAAATTTCACGATTTTATAGTTGGGATGTAACTCGGTCACAAATTGGGCAGTTATCTCTTCAAAATTACAAGCTGAATGAAACATATGGCATCATGCGAAGCGATAATTTGAGTTGTTCCGTGGTTTTAACATAGTGATATCAGCGCTGAAGTGTAGGCCTGATGTGGCCTGTCGCCGATTCTTTTCCTTTTCGTGCCTTGTTCACTGAAGATCTAAAATCGTGTCATTTGACCGGATCTTTTCATGACTGACGATAGTTTGAAATAGCTACTTGACTTCCACCGGGTTCGATAGGTGTTAGGATAGGTGCTAGGCATTTCAAGTCGGAACATATTTTTTTCCATAGCTTTATCTAGTCTGGTCTTGAACGCGTTCATACTTTCCTAGTAACAATTTTCAAAGGGGTCCATGTTGGCCCAAAGTTACATTACAATATTGGCCACATGTGGAAATGCCATATGGCAGCCCCATGGTTTTTGTGAAAATTCTGCCCAGCTAGGCCACGTAGAAATCACGTGATTTCTACATAGGGCCAATATAGCTCATACATGGTAAAACCATGTGCCTGTCATATTGTGGCTACATGATTAGAATTGCATTGGCCCAGCATGGTTCAATTCATGGGCCTATATTTCCAAAATACGTCAGGACCATCTCGCTCAAAGGTTGCCGTCATATGGCAGCTCCATGTTGGGTCCAGTAGGTTTCTAGCAAGGGCCCACACATCAACCACACGGGTAAACCATGTACACACTACGTGTTTTACACATTGGAATTCATCCTGGGCCTTGCTGTCTTCCACCAAAGGCCTACACGTCAATCACATGGG